CCATGTATATAGTGATGGGATCAATGGTCCTTGTGTAATCTATTGTGTGTGGAACCATTTTTGCAAGAGATCACTGATTTTGATGACTGTATGATCTTGCATCACTCCCACTCAATTTAATATTGATATTCTCTTTCTGCTCTATTAAGTCCATAATATTACATATCGAATCATTGGCCTGAAGAAAAGGTGATTTACCTTCTTATATATGACCCTATATTAGTCATATCATCTCCCCTTAATATAATATATCGAGATATAAGAATAGCCCACATGTTGTGCATTGTCAGACTTCGGGTCGGGCCGTGCAAGGACCTTTTCTAAGAACACGCGCCCGGGAACAGAACAGACGGATTGTCAGGCCCGCAAGGACGGCAAGCGGGGTAGATCGAAACCGTAAGGGCCCGTGAACTCGGTCCCTGGTCGCTGTCGGTGGTCGAAGGTTCGAATCGGGTCATGTCGGGCCCGATGAGTAGATAACGCCTCCTTGCACGGAGTAAGGTAGTTCTTCAGACGATCTAAGCGATAGGGTACAGGGTCCACTATCGCGCCTTATATATGCGGGCCCGCAAAGGGGGTGATCGGACACCCTGGCCTCTCCTCCTCCTCCTCGCTCCCGTTCCTGGCTGCAGAGGGGACAATCGTACGTCCCTTGCGGGCCAGGCGCTACTCCTGACCTCCTAGCACTCCTCACCAGTCCCCTTGTGTCGAGTTGGGCTCGGCGACGGCTTGATGCGTGCTTCCCACGTGTGCGTTCCTCCTACTGGGGCGCATGTTCCCGTCGTCACGTGCTGCGTGCTACGGGCCCGCGATGGCCCGACACCAGCGCCGGAGCGGACGGGCCGGGTCTTATCCGTGACATGCATTGCACTTTTGGGCTATAACCCAGATGCTGCACATTGCACTAGCTGCAAGAGGCGTGTCCCAAAAGGTGTTTGGATGTGCGGGAAGTAGATGGGGATGATGGTAGATAGACTGCGATGGCACTGCTACTCTGCTGGACTCGTACTTGGTGACACCTGGCAACAGTCGATGGAGTCTGTGAACGAGTTCCGCGACCGGATCGCCACTGCTGAAGCCAAGGCTGCGCTCACAAAGGCCAAAGAGGAGTACAAACGCTACTACGACCGGAGACGCACTCCGTCTCCGGAGTTTAAGGTTGGCACCCGTGTTTGGCTGGATGCCTCTGACATCAGGACGACTCGCCCCTTGGAAAAGTTCTCCCATCGCCGCCTCGGACCATTCAAGATAGTCGTGGAGATCAGCAAAGGTGCCTACAAGCTCGACCTCCCTCCGCGCTACTCAAAGCTCCACCCGGTCTTCCCCGTCGTCAAGCTCGAGCTCGCCCAGGACGACCCCCTTCAATGGACGCCCCGGCTACGACCAGCCCCCTCCGGACCTCGAGGACGGAGTCCCGGAGTGGGAAGTAGAGGAAATCTTGGACGCAAGGGTGAGGTATAAACGGCTGGACTACTTCGTCAGATGGAAAGGCTACGACGCATTGCACGACCAGTGGGTCCGCTTCGACCGCGTCTTTGCCCCGGAGAAAATTGCGGAGTTCTATCATAAGTACCCTGGCAAGCCCTGACACATCGCCTCCGCGACCTTCGACTCGATTCCGTTCCGGTCTATGCGTCGAGATGCCGCATTCAAAGGGGGGGGTGATGTCAGGGGAACCTCCCTTTCGGCCCGGAGACGCGCCCGATTCCGGTCCGATTCCGGTTCCGACTCCGGTCCGGCCCTCCATCTCGCCCGCACAATCACCGATGCGTCAACGCCCTCCCGACGGTCGCCCTGGGACCTCGTCTGCGACACCGCCCGAGCCTTCTGTGCCCGACAGCGGCAGCTATGGACAAGCAGTATATAGTCAGCTCCCTAGCAGGCGGACCCTTAGAGTTTCTTCTCTTTGGATACTCCCCTGCTAGGACCTTGATCTCAGGCCTCTGGTGTTGCCCTTACAGACTTGGCTAGTGAAGGAAATTTCTATGAATTGGCACAACCACTTTGTGCACCATCTCAAAAGATGACAGTTCAGAAACTTCAGTCCTTCTCACTCCTTATTTGGAAATTTGCCGGTCACGTGCATTTACATCGGGGGCCTTGATTTGGCGGCAATCAGCTGGCCATTTTTAGCACCAAATCTCTGCCATATAAATACAGCTTCGGGCCACCCTTTTTGCCTGAATCCCCGGTGTGTCTAGTAGTTATACTGGTCATAAATATTATATAAGTACTATATGAGATGCTCTCAATAGCTATATTCCTCAAATATATGGGTCATAATCCACTAAAAGAATATAGCCAAGAATATTCAGTCAGTATCTCAGGCAGACCTGTACTCATGCTATCTGTGGGAAACAGGTATTTGTACCTGCAGGTGTAATACCTGCGGATATTTGAGCACAGGTACCTGTGATGACTTTCACAGGTATTGACACTCGTGAGGAGCTTTAAGCCTTGGCGTGCAATGCCGCCAGCTTCTCCATTTCCATATCTGTCTCACTCTCCGACTCTGAAAATGTCTCCCCTCCCTTTGTCACCCATACTTGTCGTCGTTTTTCCATTGAGAACTTCAATATCATCGTTCATTTCCACGTCGGATTCAAAGGCATCAATAGCAATAATTGGCTCGGGGGGTACAATGCAAACAGGGAGGACAGTATCTGTGCAAGCTCCATCTATGCCTTCCATTTGAGTGCCTGCATCAGTGTTGACTGGGTGGGACTTGGGCCAAAGAGAGAAGAGATTTATTGAAGGTCTTGATGCCATATTCTAACAATTGTGTCAGCAACACAAAGCCTTGCATTCAGCAAAGTTGGTGCACCTTGAGCACCTGATCCATTGGTTCCACCCCCCACTTTGCTTGAGATTTCTTTGTTTTTCCGTTCCTCTCCTGCCATGTTGCTGAACGGGATGTCCCTCTAGTGCTGACAGCAGCGGGAGAGAACAGGTCACTATTCTCGCACCACTCTTTGCATTCAGCAAGCTATTGTGATGGTTACAGACCACCACCTTCTCATCACTGCGCTTGGACTTACATTCTTCACCATTGGACTTATAGTCACCATCCCAAGTCTTTAAGCACTCTTTTACAAGGGTTTGATGTGCCCAAATATGATTCTGCGCAACCTGGGGTTTCTTTGAAATAGTCGGCATGGGAAGATGGCTAAAACCAATACTAAAACCCTGAATGGTAGTGGTCACAGTTCCAGTCACATCTGGTATGCTATTGTTGAAAAAAAATTGATACATTACTGTAGTATTTTATTCAATTCGGCACCCAAATTGGGTGTGACATCGGCGCCGAAATGAAATTTTCGGCGTCCGGCGGCTCCGAGTGTGACTGCCGAAAAAATTTTGGCATATTACGGTGCGGCCCGCAGGGCCGCGCCACCCAAAAATGGTAAATCAGCCAAGGGAATTCGGCATCTGGGCTGTGGGGGTGTGACCGCCGAAAAAATTTCGGCATTTTGAGGCCGGGTGTGACGCGTGACTGCCGAACTGAATAAAATGCTACAGTACCTGTCCCTTTTGTTGTCTCCATTATTGAGGGAAGAACAACTAGCATCAAGAGCATCAGCTGCCACACCATAAATTTCTATTCTGAGCTCTTGTCAAACCCTGGGTTCAAGAAACCTTTTTCTTTGCCATTTAAACCTTTTATTTTGGCCATAAGATGTTGATTGACAGCGTGGAGTTGGACATGAGGCAAACAGCATGTAAAAGCATGGCTAAAGTATGATGTCATTGCCTCTTGTATTAGGCATGGTAAACACATGGTAGTAGTGTATATAAGTAGAGTAGATTTTGTCTTGTACCCCAGTCTTCGAATTCCATCATCTTGATGATATCCTTTCACGGTGCTTCTTGCTTGCCTTCACTGGCCAACTGGCATCCTCTGAATTGGTGTTGTTTGTGACAGCTCTACTGTACAGCGCAAATATATGGGGTGGTCACCATCTTATCTAATCTTTGGCCATACCCCACAGTGTCTCCGTGGTCATGTGACAGCTCCTAGTATCACATTCTACTCCTTACATGATCATGTGGGATAACCTTGTTAACTGCACATATTTGATTATGCATTAGTAAAATAAAAATGAAAATAAATAAATGTGGCAAATTTCCATACAAAGAAAATTTCTAAATAAATCTGTGCTTTAGTTAGCAGGTAAAAATGTCAGATACTTAGATGTCACATTTAGCTGCTTGTTCAAGCTGACATTTACACAAGGGAAGAATCTGGAGCCAAAGCTAGGATGTATCTATACATTTATCTGAAAGAAAGATCTAGGGTCTTTTTCTTCTTTTCTGCTAGATAAATCATTACATATTTAGCTGAAAACTATGCTCTCGGATCTGGCCGCTTTGCAATGACGGATGGGTATGAGCCTGAGTGAGAAGGTTCTGATAGTAATTCCAATGCCTGAAATTATGTTGGTTCCCAAAAAAGGAAACACTCTTATTGGAACCCTTAATAAGGTACTTAGCTTGAAGGCTGACCCTTATTAAGACCCTTATCAACAACACTGCGCGGCTGCGCGGCTGCTGCTGCTGCTGCTTTGTCCACAGATTTTTCTTTGTGTCAAAAGGTACCATTTATATGGCAGTTTTATCATTTTTGTGACAGAACAAATAGATAGATAACTCTGGGATTTACTCTTCACTTTATCTTATAACTTTCCCAAGGGGGGGATCTCTCAACCAGCCTAGTAAGAACGCATGTAACCAGATTCATTATCAGTGTCAGCTTGGACATCAATATCTCAAGGTGTCGGGCGACAAAAGAACCTATGCATCCAGTGCCAACGCTCATCGAATCCAAGGCTCAAAAGTAAAACTGTATTACGAATGTCATTACACTCTCTTCGTCGAACTTCTCGACGAATCATACTAGTACACAAATAAAGAAGAGCAAATAGACTGTCCGTCGCGTACATAGAATACAGAAGCTTCCGGACGGTATTCCATCTCGGCGGCGGTGTATAAGGAAGAGTGCTTTACGAGCGCTCGCCACGGAGACGGCGGGCAAGAGCGAGGTCTAGGAGGTCCCGCATTAGAGCGATAAGAAGAATGGAGTATAGACACACCCTTGGGTTGGATGGTGACGCGCTTAGCGTGGATGGCTGCGAGGTTAGTGTCTTCGAAGAGCGAGACAAGGTACTGGGGGTCTATCAGCAATGTCCTCCACAGAAGACAGACAGCAACACACCGCCTCGGCAGCCTCCTGGAGGGCCATGACAGCGCTCGACTGGAAACGGAGGTCCGTCTTGAAGTCCTGGGCGATCTCACGTACAAGACGCTGGAAGGGGAGCTTGCGGATGAGCAGCTCAGTCGACTTCTGGTAGCGACGAATTTCACGGAGCGCGACGGTACCAGGCCGGAAACGATGGGGCTTCTTGACACCACCTGTCGGGCCCTAAAAGATGATGTCAGCATTGACTCGTGTCACATCAGTCACAGGGCGGCGTGGCTGTGCGACGATGACCGACGCCCGACAGCGATGATGAGGAAGTGTCGGGCCGTGATGGGAGTGGAGATGGGAATGCTTACAGGTGCGGTCTTGCGGGCGGCCTTGGTGGCAAGTTGTTTACGAGGGGCCTTGCCTGGAAAAGAGTCAGGAGAGGCACACGATGACGACGAGGGGAGCGACGGACCTCCAGTCGACTTGCGAGCGGTTTGCTGGAAGACAAGGGTGAGTACGTGGCGTGTGTGGGCGTTTACAGGCACGACGGACCTTGGTACGGGCCATTGGGTGTTGTCTTGAGGGGAGCTTGTGGTGGTGGGAGGAGAAAAACGACGACTCGTCAAGTGGCTGAGACCCCCAAAAAGACCCTCTGCTGGCCGGAATCTTTGCACGTGACAGCCAGAAGCCAAGTGGAAACGTCGATTTGGCAGCTGGAAGATAGCCCGACTCCGTTCTCCTCCTCGCCCAACGACCCGTCATCGAATGAAAAGCGACGGAGACTGTTCGCAAGTCACTTCCTCATCGTTCTTGCCATGCTAGACCGCTATGCAAAGAGCCAAGTGCGCGAAAATCGTCTTTCATTGCGTATTTTGACCATTGACTCCGCTGCACAGCCACAATGTACTTTCTCCAGTCGCTTTCTCTGGCTTCAATTTGACTGCTAGAGACAAATGGTGGTCCAGAAGCTCACCGCCTAGCACTCCTGGTGCCCTCCCTCAAACATTCCCGTCGCGGCGTTTTGCCTTCATTACTGCCACTCAGCAACCACTCAGTCGTACCCATTGCACAAAACTGACAAGACATCCCAACTCTCGGCGCCGCGTACTTTGAATCCTTGCTCGCCGTATAAATTGCTGTTGTTGAGGGCAAGTTGAGGTGTACGACGGGGGATACTTCTCGAAAAGGAAACCTCGGCGCCATGTGCATCAACCAAGTGGCAAGAACACGCGCAAACCTCGACTCTCTAAAGACACATCGACGCACGACATTAGCAGCCTGTGTACATTCGGCCTTAGCTTCTCGGAGTCTCGGACTACCTGTGTCGAACTCTCCTCTGTAAGAGTTCGTTATCCGAGTTATATATCTCAATTTCTCAAAGATCAATTGCGGGGCGCCGCTTCCACAAGAGACCTCCCACCAATGACTCTTGACTCTGTTATCGTCATGGGATGCACATGCTCTTCTGACTGGATTAGTTCATTTGCGGACTTGTTGGTCTGATCGCATTCTTATTCCTGCGAGCTTCAAGTTCCTCTGTGGCATTTCTCGCTGCGGTGTTCATCGCTATCGGTGGTGCCCACGCGAAGCGGGTCGAAAAGGTCAAGGAACGGCTTCGCGCGGCGTTGGCGATGGAGCATCCGGCAATCGACGGTGTCATTCCTGGACTCGATGACGTGAAAACAGAGGAGGAGAAGCGACCGAATGGACGATCACCACCACCACCACCACCAGTCACTGACTCAACACACTCATGCCTTCAACGAGTTGACAGGGGTACAGTATCATTATTCTTCAATTATTCCGAATTCCTAAGGTTGTATCGCATGTACGTTCCTTTAGCTCCTTTTTAGCATCACCATTTAACTTGCGTCGGCTTTCCCTGTAGCTCTGAGCCCTCGATTTCACTCGCCAGCTGCTTTTGAAGCTTACCAGGTTTTCCCGCTGGACGCCGCGCATTGGTTACTGATCATGATCCCATGCATACCACACATATATGTTGATGAATTGATTATTGCCGGCCCGTCTTCCCATTTTTTAGATGCGGAGCGCCAGATGTCTTCGTACTTTCACCTTCAAGTTGTACTTGTCAGTGGCGACGGCCGTAGATACGGAGCTGTCGCATGATTTAAATTGACGGTGAATCGTGATTGTGTGGGCCACATTGCGCAGCTCCTCGTGTCTCCCTCAAGGAATCATAGGAATCACTGTTCTTGTCCGTCCCGATGTCGTGGGCGCTGGGCGCTGGGCTGGATGGGCGGCAATCTGCTGACAGTTGCCGCCCTCCGATCCGAACCGGACCGGTTGTCCGATGCGGATCATCGCATCAGAGGACGACGTCCGCCACCAAAAACAGCGCTCAACGCCGCCCACATCCGTCCGCGCAGCCCGAAACCGGAAAACACCTCGCTCGTGACAACTCCCATGGCCCGGTTGCGGCAAGCGCTCTCCCAATCAGGAGTCAAGAATGAGCGCCCGGGAGCGAAGAAAGCCAAAGGGAGACGACGTTGCGGCTTCCCATTGGCCCATCGCAACACGGGCGCCACACAGGCGAATCCACAAGCCCGGGCAGCAGCCGCTACTGTCCGCAACTGAGCGGGTCGAGCAGCGCGGGGACGACATTGTGACACGGGTTTCGCGGTAATCGGGCTCACGCTGTTGACTGCTGTTACATGACAGCGCCGAGCGGGGACACGGGAAAACACACAACGGGAAGCGGTGCGCTCGGGCACGGTTGTTGCGGCAGCTGCCACCGCCCAGCAGCTGATATTTGCTTCATGTCTGTTTAAAAGAAACTGACCCCCGTCGCTTCGCGAAGCCCACAACACCCACCATCTCATCTCGGCGCTCAGTTGATTACTGCCGTGCCAGCCATGAACGCCTTTAACTACGACAGTGGCGACTTGCACATGGATAGCCCATACGACAGCTGGTCCACAACGCTCCTCCTCTCCAGACCTGACGACTCATCGAGTATGTCCTCCCCAAACCAATCCAGCCAGTCCACCTCTCCCTCATCATTATCATCATCATCGTCGCCTTCCCGCATAGTAACGACATACCACCCTCCACTCACGGGTCCTGCACCACAACTCCCTTACACCGCCGCCCCACCCATCGGTAGCCGTCCACGTTACTCAGCCGGGACGCCCTACCCCGATTTGTCCTTATGCTCCCCCACGGACCCGCTCGTATCTGCCACCACAGGCACAACTGCAGCGACGAGCACAAATGGCGTGACAGATCGCGACCCACGCACACCAGCTTCGGCGGAGTCGTCCGTGTCATTGTCCCAGCTTCTGCACGAAAGCGTGTATGCGGTGCCAAACGGGAGGGAATCGCCCATAGGCTGGTAGTGTCGTCATTATATATCTTCAAGTTTGACCTTCGAATTCATGTAGTACCTATCCTGTACTTACGGGTATCTTTGAAACTAGTACCGAGATGTAAAACCAATGAACTTGTTCCAAAAATATGCTTCATGACCGATCGTCTATTCAGCGCTCCGTCAATTCCTACTTTAAAAGTCAGCTACAGCTACTGTACACAAGTGTATTTTTAGTAACCACAAGCCTAGTGCCGTAACTCGGAAAGGACTTCGTCAACACTTTTCGTCCGTTTAGGCCTCGAATTGAGCGTGGCGAGCAGTGATATCGCCCACAACTTATTGAGCACGAGGTTCATGCCCAGCGTCGCTGTCACCCGCGCAAACGGCGCCGAGGGCGTGTTGGGGAAAGCGACGCAGAATGCGTACTGAACAGACATCCTGGATTTATGGCTCAGGCTTAGAGAAAGATGGAGAGTTGATGGGCGAGGACAGACCACAGGGTAGCCGGTGCGGCGGATTGAAACACGACGAGAATGACGCTCTTGTAGAGCCCCGCGCTCTGCGGAAGGACTTGCTTGCGGAAATAGACGAGGTAGCCGACGGTAATGAGTGTCAGCAAAATGTCTCCTCCTAGCAGCGACAGGTAAGAGAAGAAGAAACCTTGACTCTTGAGGCGCACCGAGAAGGACCGAGAAATAGACATTATCTGGCACAGCATTAGGCGGTGGGCCAATATGGGTAGAGAACGCACAGAGGAGCAGGGTCGTTTCGTTCGAAGCGGAAGGACGTAACCGCACGCCGACCTAAATAGCAAATGAGACATTTTTGTTTTGAGTGTGGTGACTGCTGCGAACAGCAACGAGGCTCAACAAGAAAGCGAGGAAGAGAATGGTGCCGAGGAAGGCGACAAGCCACCAGTTCCGGCAAGACAAAAGGAATAGTCGATGGAGATAGAATGCTTGCACGTAGAGGGCGAGGAAGGCAGCCTGGCGTCGCATTAGCGACTCTGGGGAGGTATGAAAGAACAAGCGAGGACAATCATGCAGCTTGAGCCTGTCATAGGCAAGTCGGGGTTGCCAAGGAGCTGTACTCCGTTGATGATCTTCTCCCAGGACATTGCGCTGTAAGTAGTGAGCCTAGATCGAGGCATGGCGGCTGAGGAGGCCACGAACAACTGGAGGGCAGCGCTTGCCATCGAAATGAGAACAGCAATATAGACATATGCCCGACGATACACCGGCTCGTCTGGGTACTCTGAGAGATATCTGACGAATTGGTGTGCTATAACGCCAGTGAACAAAGCTCCGACGGATGAGCCCGCGAGCTATGCCCGGGTTTAGCGAGCGACAATTTGGATCGAAGAGAGTGCGCACATGTGGGCCGACGACATAGGCTATTGGGCCGCTGGAGTTAACAGCAGCCATCCGTGGAGGAAAGGCAGAGAAATGGGAAGGTCTCAGGTGGGTGTCTTGATTTGCGCCACTTCCGTCATCAATTGCATTCCAACTACTTGAAGTCAATATCAATCTTGACTCTTGAGTCTTGACGAGCTTGCGAACATGCCTGTTGTCATCGTCAAGAAAGAATATAATCGTAGTCCGACAGCTAGGGCAACTCACCCTTTGCCATGCGTTCCCCACTTTTCGCGCTCGCCGCTCTTGCTGTAAGAACTCTCCTTCGTATCCTCCCACACGAGTAGTAACAGACGACTCTCCAGACCCTTGCTGCCGCCATGCCCAACGCCGGCAGCCCCCTGGCTCCACGCACCGACCCGCCAACCTCCCCGCAATGCTGTCAAAGCGTCGTTCCCTCCACCAGCGCAGTCGCACTTATCGCTGCAGCCGTTGCTGGTGCCGACCTGAGCGGACTTAATGTCCCCGTGGGCCTGAGCTGCTCTCCGATAACCATCCTTGGTAACAATTGGTATGTTTTTCGGATATTATGTCGCATGGTGCTGAAGGGAGAGGTGCTTAGTGCGAGTGGAGGAGGTACGGCTGTTATTTGTGAGGCGCCGCGGCAGGAGTGGGGTGGGATTATCGCCATTAATTGTGTCCCCATTACCGTTTGAGTGTACGTTCGGGTAATGTCGTGTGTTTCGCTTGACAGACTATCAACTACTATGGGATGAAGGAGGTGATACGGCTCAAGAAGGTATGAGTAGTGTAGTTTGAGGTCGTATGGAGCGAGGGGAAAGACACCGGCTGCCCACATTCGTGGTGTTGGTCAAGGACAACTTCAAGTTCGGGGAGAAATTTAAAGTCACATGTGACTTTCGTTCTTCCTCTGACTTTCTCCTTGATCCACGTCCAGACTCATGCTGTTGATTTATCTCCATCCTCGCAAGTTGAAAGTGCCGCATACTACCGAGTTACGCAACGCATCGCTCGGCGAAACGGGTCTCTGACTGAATGATTCTTTGACTGCTGCATGGAACGCCAATTTCAATGCGTTAGTGGAGGTCGCTGTTGCATACGGGATGGAGTCTTACGCCTCTATGCGGTGTCTGGTGAGTATATTCTGCAGCATTTTGCGTTGCAATGGTGCTGACAATACGTTCAATACGTTTCGTAGACGAGTGACCAAGGCCACAAGTAAAGCAAGTTCCATGGTCAATTGTTTGCTTCTTCCTCCATAGCCCCGACCTGTGCAGTCAATAAAGCTCTCGAAAGAACTACGACGTCGACGTTGAATAAACTCCCGCGGTCTGCCTAACCATGGACGGACTGAATTCCGGAGCGTGGTTGACAGAAGACAAGTCGCATTGAAAGTGTGTAACCTGCTTATTCCCATTGTTCTGCAAAGTCATGAAGTCTGCAGGGTGCTCGTTCGACAAACTCTATGGAAGCAGGAGACGCGGTCGAGATTGAAGCGGTGATTGAAGCGGTTCGGACTGAATCGGACGCTTGCGGTTAGAATGACATTGGATCAGTGCGTACCACGGCCATTCCGCTCAGTAATTTTCATCGAGCTCGTAGTCTTGTAGCTTCCGTACTCAAGAATGCATGAATGCCGGCCCTTTCATATACTGCTCAAAGTTGACCGATGACCAATGACAAGCGACGCTAAACGACCAAGCCACCCAATTATATCTTTCCTCCATCCATTCAAAGGGTGATAGGAATGCAGTTGATGGCAATGAGGCCGCCCCATTGCTGTTGGGGAGCTTGGCAAGTGACGGTGGTGCCGCCGCTAAAAACGATGAGCAAGGATGGCGATAGCGGAGGGAATAACCTACCAGTTGTTGCCGATGACGGTGATGGGGGAGCAGCTGAGACCGACGGGGACGTTGAGTCCTCCGAGGTCGATGCCCAAGAGACCAAGGATAGCCGAGGCAATGCTGGTGGTCGAAGAGACAACGCTGTTGCAGCATTGGGGGGAGTCGGATGGGGGCGGGTTGGTGCGTGACTCGAGGCCGTTAGGCGCGGCGGCAGCAAGGGTCTAGAAAAAAAAGGTCAGTGGTCGACGCGCTCGTTGGCGATTATACTAACAGCGAGAGCCAGGACGGCGGTGTACTTGATGTTGGCGAACATGTTGTTTGGGAGAAGGCTTGAACGAGTGGGTTCGAGTGAAGAATACTGCCAAAGCCGGCCAGCTTTTATAGCATTTCCGGTCCCTGCAGCTTCGGTGGTTTTTGGCCCATCCTGTGCTTGTTTCAATGGCTTGGGCTTCTTTCCTTCTGGACGAGGCGTACGGTAGCAACGTCATCCTAATATGCCAGATTTCTGTGCTAATTGTCTGCAGGAGCCAATGAACGTTCATCTCGCGACTTGCCCAGGAGCCTACTGATTGGTCCGAGACACGCGTCTGAGTGGAGCGAATTATGTTTTGCGTTGAGTCGTTCTGTCATTCGCGTTCAGCGCCTGACAGCCACAACGAAAGCGAAGCTGCATTTCGAGGCCCACTTCGAAATATAGGGTGTGTGTGCGAAAGGTGTGTCAGTAACATCAAGTTGGATTATAGCTCATGATGCTGGCCTTACAATCGCAAGGGAGAGAACGCGCTCAGGGAAATGCGCCGTATACTGCTCCCAAACCCACCGCCCTCTGAATTGCTAGCTGCTATTGACGACGCTGCGGCATTCGTGTGGCCAGTTCTATTCATACGCCGCTGATGATTCGCGGACGTGTCAAGAGCATGTGCTGTAATAGCGAGAATCCCTCAAAGAGGGAATTGTCTTGTGCTGTCGGACGTTGTCATCGTTCATTCCGCCTTTCGCGCACGACACGCCGTTCCTTGATGCGCAAACTCGAAGAATGTGGAGGCGGGGTAGTCGGGCGAACTTGAATCATTCTTTGCCTCACGATAACACAACATCTACTAGTATTCCTACGACCTACCCAGCTTTTTCTCCGCCATTTGACGCGAGCCAAATCGTACGGGAACAAGTCGGAAGGCCATGGTCCGGGTCCGATATTGACCGCCACCTACGTCACCGCTGCCGCATCATTCCTTCCTCCCTTCAGACTTCAGCCGCCAACTGTACACCCCCAATACGGTGGAAGTTGGCCAAGACTATCTGGATTATATCAGAAACTTGTCATCTGGGGTATTACCGACGTTGGGCGTCATCAGAAACCGCGGACCCTCACCAGTCTTCTGTCCAATGTCGTTGCACCAACCACCTGCGACCAATCGTGTCGTCTCAGGATTAAGACTCTCTCAAACGCCGTCTACGCCGTCTACGGTGGTCTCCCTGCCCGTTCAAGGTCTCAGCTTCTCACCGCCGACTTCGAACAGCATGCAGCCCGTCGGGATGTGGCAAGAATTCCCGGGCCTGCGAGGACAGTCTTCTCAGAAACAAACCCATTTCGACACAACTGCCAGTGCTATCAACAGTGCTGGATATCCTCCTCTTTCCTTTCCTGCCAACTTGAACCACATCCGACCTTTCGGAGTTGAATGCTGATGCAGAAGACCCCAACGAGGAACGATACAAGCCTATGCGCTTCACCGGGTTCGTGCGAGCAATAACTGACGAACAAGGCTGGCCGTCCCTTTGTCCTCGGCATCTTCATGCAAAGACGATCGCTCATTGGCTCCCGCCTCCGACAGACAATTATAAGCACACCATGCGTCCATCTGGCAGGTCATGATCCCAATGACGTTGCTACCGTGCGCCTTGTCCAAATTCGAAGTGCAAGTTTCCAGAAGAAAAAAGATGTCCAATCACTAAGGGCCCGAAAACTGTATAAAAGCTGCCCAGGGTCGGCCTGCATTCTTCACTCGAACTCACCTCGTTCAAGTAAACTCAGCCTCCTCACAAAGATGTTCGCCAACCTCAAGTACACCGCCGTCCTGGCCCTCGCTGTTAGTCTCTTCACTAACCAGCGCGTCAAGCACTGACCTCTCTTTCTAGACCCTTGCTGCCGCCGCGCCTAACGGCCTCGAGTCGCGCACTAACCCGCCCCCATCCGACTCCCCCCAATGCTGCAACAGCGTTGTCTCTTCGACCACCAGCATTGCCTCAGCCATCCTCGGTCTCTTGGGCATCGACCTCGGTGGACTGAACGTCCCTGTCGGTCTCAGCTGCTCCCCGATCACCGTCATCGGCAACAACTGGTAGGTTTTCCTCGTCGTTCAGCGCAGCAGTCGCTTAATTTCCTCCAGCGGAGGCACCACCGTCACTTGCCAGGCGCCTCAGCAGCAATGGGGCGGCCTCATCGCCATCAACTGCCTCCCAATCACCCTCTGAGCGGCTTTAGTGGACCGTGGTCGTATAGTACACTTGGTTTTGTGGTTGGAAATTTTAATTTGTTTGCTTTTTGCAATCTCCGAGTCTGGAATCCGCGCATGAAGTCATACCTCAGGATTCAGGAATGTCCGACACTGCTTGCTTCTCCGTCAGACCGGCATTGAGACGTTATCTGTAGCTCCCGCCAGGTGCTGCGTTCTGCGCAAGAGCTGTTGCTCAGCGTTGAATTTGCATTTGAGGACAGAAATAAGCTTGAAGTTGAAACTTGAAAGCCTGAGCCTGAGCAGAAGTGCGAGTAGACCGTTATCAATTTGAGTTTGTTTAGAGTCTTGCAACGACGGTCGCCAATGCTGCTGGACTGGCCCTCAGCTCTGTGAGCGCCAGACCAATGCCCGTGGATGACTGAAAAAAGGAACATCTTAGAGATGTTGACAACAATCACTGGGACTTGCATTCCATAATATAGGGTGCAGTTTTTAAAGATTTGAGTATTAAAAAACGGTTTATAATTTTTGGTGTCCCAAACTGGTGTTTGTAAACTGGTTTGTAAACCAGGCAACCAAGCATGTGACATTTTGATGTCACAATATAAAAAAAATTTAGTCCTAAATTCTAGCTGAAAGGGTTACCTTCATATCTCTTTTCTCTCAGTCACCTATGGTACAGGTCATAATTTGCTATATATTATGTACAGGACCTGTAATTCATAATGTTGATCAGCTGGCAGTAGTCAGATCACTTAAGTCACGTGACTAGCCTGGTTTATAAACCAGGAGGCCTGTGAAATCTTTCCAAACCAGGGTTTATAAACACTGGTTTATAAACCAGTTTGTAAACTGGATCAAAAAACTGCACCCTACCATAATAATAATATCAGTGTTCGCCCTAAGCCCCCTCAGGTGGGCTTAAGATGGTGGGCTGGGGGTAATTAAGCCCTTAACGGTCACATGTTCAGCCATCACTGGCTGGTCAGTGATGGTAATAACATATTCTGTCACAATATGAACTTATGTGATAGCCTTTTGATAACTCTGAAGTTAGAATTTGGTCATAGTTATCTGCAGAAAAATAATATTGCACCATACTTAAAAACATTCTGAAAATAAATATTAAAATGACAGTTAAGGGGGTTAAGAGTGGGGTCTTAATAAGGCCTTAGGCTTACTTAAAGCTTAGAAGAAGGACCCCTTATTAAGGCACCTAGGGCAAACACTGTAAGGGCAACCCCGGAGGCCTGAGATCAAGGTCCTAGCAGGGGAGGATCCAAAGAGTGAATAGAAGTAAGCAAATACAAGTGAGGCTGACCTAGCAGGGGAGGATCCAAAGAGAAGAAACTCTAAGGGTCCGCCTGCTAGGTAGCGGAACTATATACTGCGCTCTTGACGCGCCAAGGTTGATCGTTGCTCCGTGCAGTATGCCTGCGCCATGTCGCAGGCCAGGTCCCAGGGGGATCGCCAGGCGGGGGGCGGCGATGCGCCTGACGGAGGCGGTGATGCGATCGCCGGAGTCGGAACCGGAGTCGGACCGGAATCGGAATCGTCTCCGAGGGGCCGAAAGGGAGGTTCCCCTGACATCACCCCCCCCTTTGAATGCGGCGTCCCGACGCATAGACCGGAATGGAATCGAGTCGAAGGTTGCAGAGGCGATGTGCCGTGGTTTGCCAGGGTACTTACGATAGAACTCCGCGATTTTCTCCGGGGCGAAGACGCGGTCGAAGCGGACCCACTGGTCGTGCGACGCGTCGTAGCCTTTCCATCTGACGGGGAATTCAGCCGTTTATACCTCACCCTTGCGTCCAGGATTTCCTCTACTTCCCACTCCGGGACTCCGTCCTCGAGGTCCGGAGGGGGCTGGTCGTAGCCGGGGCGTCCGTCGAAGGGGTCATCTTGGGCGAGCTCGAGCTTGACGACGGGGAAGACCGGGTGGAGCTTCGAGTAGCGCGGAGGGAGGTCGAGCTTGTAGGCACCTTTGCTGATCTCCGCGACTATCTTGAACGGTCCGAGGCGGCGGTGGGAGAACTTCTCCGAGGGGCGAGTCGTCCTGATGTCAGAGGCATCCAGCCAAACACGGTCGCCAACCTTAAACTCCGGAGACGGAGTGCGTCTCCGGTCGTAGTAGCGCTTGTACTCCTCTTTGGCCTTAGTGAGCGCGGCCTTGGCTTCGGCAACACCAGTGGCGATCTGGTCGCGGAACTCGTTCACTGACTCCATGGCGGAACGGACTCCGGGTTCGAAGCCCATGCGCGGGAGCCGTCCCGTGTCCGTCATGAAGGGGACTTGTTGCGTGGAGGAGTGAACGTGGTTGTTGTAGGCGAACTCCGCGGCCGGAATCAGCTCATCCCAGTCGTCCTGCTGATAGTTGGTGAAGATCCGCAGGTATTGCTCCAACTCCTGGTTGACGCGCTCTGTCTGACCGTCCGTCTGTGGATGATACGCGGTGGACGTGGCTGGCTTGATGCCGATTAGACGCCAAAGTTCTCGGGTGAAGTCCGCGATGAACTGCGAGCCGCGGTCGGAGACGTACTTCTCCGGAGTCCCGTGATGGCGCCAGACATTCCGGTAGTAGAGGCGAGCCGCCCCTACTGTGTCGACCGTGGTGTGACACTCCGAGAAGTGGGCACGCTTCCCAAGGGTGTCGGACGACGACCATGATCGTCGTACCCATGGGCCTCCGGAAGCTCGACGATGAAGTCGACGGAGACGGTATGCCAACGCTCTGGGGGCGTTTCCGTCGGGTGCAGCTCTCCGTGGGGCAGTCTCCGGAGTGCTTTGGTGCGACAGCACAAGTCACAGGTCGCGACGCACCGGCCAATATGGCGAGACATCTGAGGCCACCAGTAGTTCCGGGAGACCAACTCCAAGGTCTTGAAGCGACCAGCGTGTCCGGCAACTTCGAGTGTCG